CCCCCCCCCCCCCCCCCCCCCCCCCCCCCCCCCCCCCCCCCCCCCCCCCCCCCCCCCCCCCCCCCCCCCCCCCCACTAGCTGTCTTGTTGGTGGCTGCGGAAACCTGCAACTTGCACACTTGGTGTTGGATGCATTACACAAGATGGGTGCATCTATGAGTCCGTCAGGCATAAACGCAGTGCGACTTGCATCTTTGTCTGGACTTTTGAGCTGAGATCGTCGTTGGGACTGGACGAGGAGATCACCGTCTATGCTACTACCTCACTGCTGCCGCTTTTCGTACCAAGAGAACTATCCAAGGCGCGTATCACTACGGCTACCCATCGCCTAGTCATCATTCTTCTCCTGAACTTGTTTGAGCGACACTTAATTTTCTTTGGACAATCCACCGTCCGTGGTTTGTTCTATCGACTCCAAGAGACGCTCACAGTCAGGCTTGGTTATCGAAGGCATACACCAGTCTCGACGACTACCACGTTGCCTTTTGGAGTACTGGCTGGACGTCTCGACTGGAAATTCCTCATTATAGCAGCCCAATGGCGGTGAATTTGGCATACTCAGAAAGCGGACGACGATAAGTGTCTTTGTGCTCGGCCACAATCTATCAAGGAATCAGCTTCGTCGCCAAAGAGGCCAGATCCAATAGCCCTACACCATCTCAGCCAACTTGAGAGCCTGGTGCGACAACCATTTACTATTTCCTACACTTTAAGGCAGACTTCTCTGCGACCATCGCCCATTAACTTGAATGCGAACCAGCGAAAGCGCACTTGCGGCCCTTCAAAAACCTCCCGCATACATCCTATCTCCTGTCATAGCCTCGCGTTGTGCTCATGGTGGTGATCCAAGAGTCAGATCTACAAAGACAACACGCAATGGAGGAGCCGCACTGCGCATAACCTGACCGCCAACTCATACAATCGGCGAAGAGGGTGATGCTATTCCCAGAAAAACCCAGCAGGCACCTTCACGATCCCAGACTCACCGCCTTTGTTTGATGGTTGTGATCGCAATTGGGCTGGGCAGCGTGCTTGACTTGGAGGTGCACGTTTGATGCTTCATGTATCATTCTCTGCCTGAAAATGGCAGAGGTTATTGGCGTGATTGCTGGCGCTACTCAACTGGCTGCAACATGCCTCAGTCTGGTTGAGCTCGCGAAGAACATAAAAGGGGGCTCTTCTTCCCTTCGAAACTATCAGAAGCAGCTTCAAGACACTCGAGATCTCTCCCAAGCCATATCACAGAATCCCCTTCTCCAGACCCCTGAAGTGGAGGGCTATATTTTTTCCCTACTCTCTCTTGTCAATGAACACGATCTTCAACCGCTGTTCGGAAGAAGTCGCCTTTCCAGATCCTGGTCTTTCATGTTGAAAGATAGGGAGCTTTCTGAGATCTCTATATCTATGGAAAGACAGAAGACTAATCTGTCCCTCATCATCCACAACCTCCAAGCACAAGCCATCCATCACATTCAGGCCGATATCAAAGACATCGCAATGTCGCAGTGCCCAGACGTGCCTACACGCGGTGAGCCTGCCCAGTTCACCCAAGCATCTACCACGCAAGGGATGCCCTCCAAGGAGCTCGTCGCCTTTCGGCGGTCCGAGGCTGACACCGACAAAGACTCTTCATCTCAACAACATATCAGACCAGTGGACCCTGCCATGCCCAGCCCCTTTTCAGAATTCGACATCAGCGAGGAAGAAATCCACGTGGCAATGAGATTGGCGAAGAAACTCGGACAGGAGAACCCGAATTCGAACATCTATTACAAGAACACTGCACGCGGTGGGAAAATGCAAAATGGGACTCTGTTTTCCAACGCCGAATATCCAGGAGGCACGGGTGCCAACAACATCAATCTGCCTCAAAGCATCTATGTAAAAAATTATGGCATAGACGTCACCGAGGTACACAACGGCCATCGTTATGAACTCTGCGACGACATCACTACGACCGACGTGCCGCAGTTCCTTCCGGACTTCTTCATCAACAACGCAATGGGTTCTCAAACACCAGGCGTCGAAAATGTTGGCCGCGGGGAAATGCACAATGGAAATCGCATAGTCCTGGTCAGGAATCGCAAGAATGAGTGAAAGGAGGATAAGAACATGGGGAAGCAGCATGGTAAGGAGGGCCAGACTTGAGTGGGTATGTTGGCTCGGTGTCCAAGGCCTGTTATCTCATCCCAGTCTTGAAAAGTTTAGTTTCCTTTGTTTTGATTTTACTATATCAATGAAATGACCAGTCTCTACTGATTATCGCGTACTCAGGGTGCCCACTGTAGCTATGCATGATAGCATCCTAATGTGCATTTTATTCCAACTGTAGCTCTTTCATAAACCAGTGGAGAGCATGGATGATGAAATAGCATACATGCTTGGCTGAGGATGTAATTCTGTTTCCGTGGAATAAAATTGACTCCTGGACTAGGTGATACCAAAAGTTTGAAGCGTCACTGCAGCCATTGAGATTAGTCGTCCTACATGCTGTCCACCGACATGAAACTTTCCCCTGGATCACGGTCGAATGGATGTGGTATGACTAGTTTGGTCTCCTGAGCGAAGACAACAGATCGTGCGGGCTATTCAGTGTGTGTCCAGCTCAGTGCGTTCTCGGGCTACTGTCCCTTTGTTGCCAGAGAGCCCGCCCATATTTATTCTCGACCTCGACAACACGAGCCTGGGAGTGTTTAACCTGTTTTACAAAGGGGTTTCCTCGAATCAGTCCATTCGCGACAGAAGTGGAGACGTCACGAGCCTCAAGGTCTTCAACCCCAACCATAATCGAAGCTAACAAAGTTATTGCGCACCAAAAGCTTGAGATATTGTGTTGTTTGTCAGGCAGGTTTGCCTTGATTAGTCAGCCACACATTCGGCCCACAGCTGCCCTCAAAGGCAGCATCTTCGCGCTATCGCGTTCTTCCTTCTTTTCCATAGTATCAGCATGTTCTTCAGATAGAGAACTCATTATCTTCCTTCTCTTCTGAGCTATTATTCATCACTATCTTCATAGGTTATGAGCCCTCTTTTTTCCACTACCTAACCTCTTTCTTTCTTTTTAACCGCGTTATTAAACGCACACTTAACCGCGGCCTCATATAGCACGCACCTAACCTATAACCAGGCTTATAAAACCTTTCACTAACCGCAATAACGTTATAAAAGATTCGATCTTCCTCGAAGTCGAAAACTCAACCTCTTATTTCACGAACTTCCTCTTCTAGATAACGTGTAACGTATTATCTTTATTAACAAACACGCGCAGGTTCGTGGATCATTATCACCCTGCCCCAAGTAGTATCACCCTGCCCCAAGTGGCATCACCCTGCCCCAAGTGGCATCACCCTGCCCCAAGTAGCATCACCCTGCCCCAAGTGGCATCACCCTGCCCCAAGTGGCATCACCCTGCCCCAAGTAGCATCACCCTGCCCCAAGCGGCATCACCCTGCTATCAGATTTCGAGTTACTGATTGTTCTATAATCCTGTGATATAAGGCTTTCTTCTTCCCTTTCTTTCCTTACGATTAACGGTCCCTTACTACCTTTTTATAATAGCAGAAACAGCCGGCACGGCCGGATCGGCCGTAACACTAGACTAGTCCCTTAGCGCCTTCCTATTTATAGTGCCTAAACTTATAGGGGCGGAGAACTATAATAAATAGAAGAATACTATTCTAATAGTCGCTAGAGGCATAGCCCTTAAGCGTTACCTTATCGAGGCTATCCCTACGGTATCACGCGATAAGAGAATTAATAACCGCGCTCAGACCCTTATATATACTAATATAACCACGATCGTGTAGCGTTAACTAAAGATAGGAGGATAGGACGTCGAGGTTAACTTAGCACACGATATATAGACAAAGGTTCGTACCGTTCTAGACTAGAACCTTACTAATACTATCGATAATCTAATATCCGAACTCTTCGATATAAAGCGGGAGAAATTCGACTCTCTACGAAGCTTCCTCGATAGGTTCTAATACCTCTAGAGTATAATCTCTAAATAAATCTAGCTTAACGATACAATATAGGTTAACCAGACGCTTAATACTCTTAAGAATAGTAACCCTAACTAATATTCTAACTAGAAACACGATTAGACTAAGGAGGGTAATATCACGAAGGTTAAGCTACTAAAGTACCTTCTATAAGAAGCTAATAAAGAGCGTCTATTATTTATAAATATAACCACCGTTAAGTAACTAAGTTAATAAGGTTATTCTAATAATAACTAGAATAATAGTAGCGGTAATACCGCTACTAACCCTGGTAGTAATACCACGGATAAGGACGAGATCCTATCCTATAGTTATATAGTACGCCCTCGTGCTTATTAATATACTCGCGAAAAATACTAGAAACTTTACCCTAAGAAGGCTCTTAAAAGCTAGCTAAATAATAACCGTTTAAGGAATAATAATAATAATAATAATAATAATAATAATAATAATAATAATAGCGGCGGCAATAGATATAGAAAGTTATCTAACTAGAATAGTTAGAATAATAAAAATAAATCTAAGGCTAACGCTAGAATTACTAACGCTTTTAGTATATTAGCCTTTAATTCGAATAGTAATTCTAAAAATAAAGATAATATAAGCTTCGTATTTATATCGTTTAATAGCTAACCTTTTGCTAATAGAGGTATCACTAAGGAAGACTTTATCGTCGACTTAGGATATAGTATATACGTGCTTAATAACTATTCCTACTTTATATACCTTAAGGAACTATCTCGACTAGATAGTATAACGGCTTATAACGGCTAAGGCTTATAAGTAACTACGATCGGCACGGCCGAAGTCTATATAACCAGGGGAGGCACCTTATATCTTCGTGAGGTTAACTTCGCAGCCGAAGCTACCGTAAATATACTTAGTCTAGGCGTTTTACGTAAGAATAGTATTATTATAGATAGTATCTATAGTACCCTAGTTTATAAGAATAATAGTATAGTCCTCGGCGAATACGAATAGAAGTAATATATCGCTATCTTACACGTAGATAAACGACAGCCGTAATATAACTTCGCGGTATTGCCCTATAATACTATAACCCAGGATATCGAATACGTATTAATATATCGCCGCCTAGGTCACGTATCTAAGGATCGTATTCTTAAGGCCTACTATTTAGCTAGAATTCGGATTAAACCTAATAGTATCGCTAACTTCTACTATAAAGCGTGTTAGTTAGCGAAGGTAGATTAAATAGTTAACCGATCGCCGTTTATTTAATAATTATCCTTCCTATCTTATATCTATTAGGATATTATCACGATCACGCTAGTAAGCTATAATAGCGCCAAGTTCCTACTATATTTAATTAACTATCATACTAACTACTACTAGGTAAAGTCGGTGGCGGCGAAGTCTAAGGCTACTACGAAAATCAAGGATTAGATAGCCGCTATTAAGAATACCTCTAGAGGCTTTAAAGTTTAGGTCTTTTATTACGATAACGCACCCGAATTCCTTATTAATAGCCTGGTTAATTAGGCTAAGGCAAAGGGTATTATCGTTAAGATAGGCGCCCCTTATATATCTGCTTACTAGGGTAAGGTTAAGCGTGCCGGCCGTACTCTAATAGACTCGGCACGGGCTGATTATATTAACGCTAATATTCCTTAATACTTATAGCCCTTGGTAATTAAATATACGGCCTATATCACGAACTATATACCGATAGCGGCTAACGATAATTCAGAGCCGCCGATTAAGAAGATATTCGATATTATAGGTCTTAACTACTAATACGACCTATGAGCTATCCGTACCTAGGGATATATAGCTTACGTACGTATTCTAAAGGAACGGCGTAAGGCGTTAGAAAAGCTAGCTCCGCGCGCCTAGAAAGGACGCCTCGTAGGTATTAAAGGTATATATACCTGTATCTTTAAGATCTAGATACCTAGCCTTAAGCGTATTATTCGGGCCCGCGATATACGATTTATCGAGTTCACGCCGTCGATAAGGGATATCGAAGACTTCGAATTCGAAGCTACCTTTATTAACCTAGAAATAGTAGAAGAAGGCCGTATAGTCTTTACGAACGAGGATATCTATATGTCTGAACCTACGACTCACCTAGTCCCCGAGGAATTACTATAAGGCGAGGACTACACTCCCTAAGCAAATAGCTAGACTAACGATATCACGCCTCGGCTATTAATAAAAACTTCACCTAAGGACAGAGAGCCTTATGCTTATATAACCCTAGAGCTAACGCCTGCTACCGATAGCGATCTAGATAAGGATGAGATTGCCCGTATGCTAGAGGATTAATTACTTACTAACCCACCCGACTAGTAGGATGATTATAATAATAGACTAAGAATGCCTAGAGCCTTTAACGAAGAAAAGGCACCTCTATATCGCTTAGGTAGAAGGACCGAGCGCGTTAATTATAAGTAATTATATACTATATGTTAGGGGGGGTCGGTCGGCAGGTAGGACGGGGAACACTCGGTCAGGCTGATCTGGTCTATTGCTACGGATAGGC